GGCAGCGGCTCCGTCCTGCTCCCCCTCCCCGCCCATTTGGCTGAGGACGCGGCGGCCAGGCTGTGGGTGGCATGGACTCCCGACGATGCTGCAGTGGCCGCTGCCATGCCGCTGCTGCCGCCACTAGAGCCGCTACCTCCTGGCCTGGTCCCCCTCCCCGCCCATTCGGCGCCGTCTGCCTTTCATTCTCTCTCTCTCTCTCCTAACCTGGAGGGAGAGGGTGAGAAAGAGAGAAAGAGGAAAGAAAGAGAAGAGAAAGAGGAAAGAGAAGACAGAGAGAGAAAGAGGAAAGAGAAAGAGAGAGAGGAAAGAGAAAGAGGAAAGAAAGAGAAGAGAAAGAGAGAAAGAGAGAGGAAGAGGGAAAGAGAAAGAGGAAAGAGAAAGAGGAAAGAGAAGAGAAAGAGGAAAGAGAAGAGAAAGAGAAAGAGAGGAAAGAGAGAGAAAGTTAGAGGAAAGAGAAAGGAAGAGAAAGAGAAAGACAGAGAAAGAGAGAGGAAAGAGAGAGAAAGTTAGAGGAAAGAGAGAAAGAGAAAGAGAAGAGAGAGGAAAGAAAGAGGAAAGAGAGAGGAAAGAGAGAGAAAGAGAGAGGAAAGAGGAAAGAGAGAGGAAAGAGAAAGAGATAAAGAGGGAGAGGAAAGAGAGAGGGGGAGAGGAAAGAGAAAAAGAGAGGAAAGGGAGAGAAGGAGAGGAAAGAGAGCGAGAAAGAGACGAAAGAGAAAGAGAGGGGGAGAGGAAAGAGAGAGAGAAAGAGAGGAAAGAGAAAGAAAGAGGGGAGAGGAAAGAGAGAAAATGAGGAAAGAGAGAAAATGAGGAAAGAGAAAAAAGATTGAGAAAAGAGAGAGGAAAGAGAGAAAGGAAAGAGAAGAGAAAGAGAGGAAAGAGAAAGAGAGGAAAGAGAAAGAGAGGAAAGAGAGGAAAGAGAAAGGAAAGAGGAAAGAGAGAGAGACAGAGAAAGAGAGAGGAAAGAGAGAGAGAGAAAGTTAGAGGAAAGAGAGAAAGAGGAAAGAGAAAGAAAGAGAGAGAGGAAAGAAAGGAAAGAGAGAGGAAAGAGAGACAGAGAGAGAGACCCTTTTGACATCTAAAATGAAGATAAGACTGCATATATCCTTTTTTACCTTTATTTTATATATACACACACAAACATACACACACACACACACATATCATAAAGGTAAAAAAGGATATATGCAGTCTTATCTTCATTTTAGATATCAAAAGGGTTTTGCGGCTCCCAGTGTTTTGTTTTCGGTGGGAAACGTGTCCAAGTGGCTCTTTGAGTGTTTTGGGTTGCCTACCCCTGATATAGCCCAAACTCTATATTTTAACTGGAAAAGTTGGGGGTC